CCACACCTACTATTTCACCCACCCGGGATTTGTTGAGATCACCACCAGTTTCCCTCCTTTCCGCCTTCTTCTCCCGTATCATCAACTCAGCGTCGTTCCGTGGCCGGCCATAGCCCCCTATTGGCCCAGCACGTTTTGCGTGAATTGCCGACGCAGCGACGAACAGAGAACTCCGAAATTCCGAAGGCCCAACCCAAGTACGCAGCGGCATGTGCCACGTGGCGGCCCCTGACGGCCTAACTTTTCGGGACCACCTCCACCGCGGAGGGATTTCCCCGTAAGCCGTCGCCCACAGTGCCCCGGCCCCATCGGACCTTGAGTCCCTTGCGCACGCGCCCCTTATTCGCCTAATTGCGTTCATACCCTTAAGACTCCCCCACTTTCCCAAAAATCCTTGGCACACCCCTTTTCGCACTTCCAGGCCCACATCCTACTCCGATCAAGAAGTCGCGCTGGGCGTGAGGTTGGACGTCACACCGGGGATTTCCATGCATGTCTAGAAAATGAGAAGCCATCCATCCTCCCATTGCTCCATGCACTTCTGTAAAATGAAAAGCCACCCTCCCACTGGTCTATGAACTCCCAGAAACTGAAAAGCCATTCTCCTATTGGTTCAGATGCCCGAAAACATTTCATAATGATGGCTCACCCTTACCTAAACGAAACAGTCGGTCAAAAGAAGTTAGGGGGGCCAGCCAGGAAGCTGGCTGGGCTAGCGGCAAAAGAGAGCTTGACCATAGGGTGGGAAATACAGGCAGTCTTTTTTTTTTTTTTTTTTTTTTTTTTTGAGAAAACAAAGGCTCCATCTATTGGTGGGGAGCATCACCTGCTGGAAATCGGGTGCAGCGTCCCTGTACAATGATATGAAAACATAGCAAACATGAAGATAGGCCTCGTGGCCATCCCAACAGACACCGCTCGTGAATATATCTATCATCTGTGCAGAGGCTTTGATTGCTTCCCCATACCAGACGAGGATTAACCTACTGCATTGTTAACCCTAATATGTCGCAAATCACATCTCAATTCATTTTTAGTGGAGGGGGCAACAGCCCACAGTCTTATGTCGTCCTTAATTATCAACCACAAACCTATCTAGCTAGCCTCTCTAGTGCATGGCAATCATACTCGGGACCCACAGGCCAGCAATCCCCTTATACCATTAGTCAACAGCTAACCCACCCCTATCCGAATGCCAACAAAAGACTGGAAATGCAAAGGAAAACCCCCTACCACTAGAGGGGGTAATCGAAGAAGTATCGTTGTTGTTGTCATTATTGTTTTATATGTCATCATCGTTGTTGACGTTGTCGGTGTCACTGTACCTCTGCTGCCACTGATAACACCATTGGCGTAAGTATTGTCGTTGTTGTCGTTATTGTCGCGTGTTTCACATGTGTTGTCGTTGTTGTGGTTGTTATCGAAGTCTTTGTTGTCACCATCGCCGCCACTGCCCCTGTCGACACCTTTGCTGATGTAGTTGTATCCTTGGTATCGCGCGTGCCGGTGTTGTTGTCGTTGTTGTTGGTGTCGTTGTTGTCAGTGTCACCGCCGCAGATGTATGTATAGTCGACGAAACGGTCACCGGTGTCGTTGTTAGGCGATGTCATCATAAGAGTCTGCGCCATGATCGCATCGTACAAATTCTGCCCCTCCCTAAAGATCGCATAACACCGCTGCATGAGGGTTTTTGCTTGGCACCAATCAAGGAGGTCTTCCAGCCGGGGATCGGGCCCTTCCTCCAATTCCCAAATGACCTCCAGCATGTCCTGCATGGAGTTTTCCGTCCAGGTCAGCAACGCCATCGCCCCCCCTTCGACCGCGCGCCAATCCCTTCCCTTCGCTGACATAGCCTCCACAATCCCTCACAATCGTACACCGCCCTCCTAAATGGTGAATAACGAGTCGTCCGCATCGTGTTGTGGTTGTGCCACTGAAGCTATCGCCCCCACTTGTAAGAAACGCACCGCCATATATCTTATTACGCACCAAACACCCACATGCCATCGTCTAATCTGCCAGGTGAATCATACACCGTCGTTCGGTCAAAGCAACCTAACGGGAAGTTAGGATGACCAAGGGCAGCGATGGTCGCCGCTGCCCTAGTCTCCAGAGTGCAGCCGGGCCTCACCGACTGGTCTGTAGCGCAAGTTAGCGCTCGGTGCTATGGGAATGAAAGGAGCTTTCGGACAGACAGAGTAAAGGCCACAGCCCCAGGATCCAATGGACACAATAAGCGGTACTGCACACATATGGTTAATAGGTGGTGTCATTTTCCGTGAATTTCTCACCGTAGCTGTCAGAGTTCGCCAATTTGTTTTCCAAATTTTGTGTTTTTTGCCAAGTGTTTTGTTAGTGGTCCAAATGCATTGAAACCGAATACAGATATAGGGACAGGGATGTCTCGAAGAGTTTTGCCGGTAAGAATTTCGGTATCAGGGATCGAACTGACGACCTGAACCGGTAGTGTTTTTAGCAGAGGCTAAGGTATGGTTTCGAACAGTCAACCCGAACCGGTAGTTCGATTTCGAGAGGCGACTCAGTATCAAGTCTCGAACAGGCGACCTGGACGGGCAGTTTGGCTTTCGGAGTAGGACCAGTGAGTGTGATTGGGTACCACAGGCTTCGAACAGGTGACCTGATTGAGTTTTTTCGTTTTTTGCGTTTTTTGATGTTTTTCGGATACCGAGGTAACGCTACGATAGCATACGACACTAGGCTACGACGGGACGAGGATAAGTACAGGAACAACGTAGTCAATGGTCTTTTTTGGGTCTGACGTTGACGAACTCCACCATCTCCGGAGATGGTCGGAGTAGACGTGACAGAAGCGGGACTTTGGCAGGCAGGATATGCATACGGGTGAAGTTGGGTGGATTCCCCCTGAGGAGACCGCGTGGCGGCAGTCGAAACCGGTCGGGGTGCCTTACCCACTAAAGACGAACGTGATTTTGTACTTGTGCACTACTCTATGTGTACCGTGTGATTTCATTGAAGTTACAATTTGTTCGCATTTTGTTCTTTTCATTCTGGAATCCATGCAATCTCTATCTGTACCAACAGAAGGCGCATGTGAACCTGCCTGGAGACGATCGCTGGGCGTGTGTGAGCATGTAAGAGTTACTGTTACCTATCAAACTTGAGTCACGGATATCAGGAGGTATCGGCATTTTCGTGGACTTATCTTAACAAGGGAGGCGAATTAGCGAGGATGGCGGATAGGCGTCATGGGGACGAGCATCGCGATCTTGGCAGAGACACGACTTAGAGAGGTCGGGACGGAAGGCGCGAAGACCCAGAATATCGACACCGAGGTAGAAGCCGTGATGACTACTATCGAGAACATAGGAGTGAACGGGCAAGCGGGCCGAGCGAGTATAGCCGACGTGGGCCGCCGACTTGTTTCGAATGTGGGGAGCCAGGACATTACAGAAATCAGTGTTGGAAGAGAGGCGGGGAGGGTGGTTAGAGAGGCGGCGCTAGTGCATCGGGTGGACCAGGTTTCACCACCCCCGTGGACGAGGCGACGAAGAAGCAGATCGAAACGCTGGGACAAACAGTCGCAACTTTCAGGGAATTTATCGAGCAGGAAAACAAAAAGAAAGAGGAGAAGGCAAGGAGGAAACAGGAGAGGGAAGAGAACGCGAGGAGGGAGGAGGAACAGATGAGGAGGGAGGAAAAAGAGAGGAGACGAGAAGAGGAAGACAGGAAAGCAAGGGAGGCACGAGCGGCACGTAAACGCGAAAAGAATCTCCATCGAAGAATAGCGGAATTGAAGACCGCGATTAAGGGCAAGCAACCAGTGGCCTCACCTATGGGATCAAACGCATCCTATTCGAGTGGGTGGGGAGGCAGCGAAATCGAGGAGATCCGCGCGAAGACGGAGCGTCTCAAGCTGTCGGAGAAACGAAAGAGAAGCCCAGATCGGAGAATTGACAACAGTCCTTCGATGACTACTCCCGCAAAGCGTACACCAAGGAAGACAGCGGTGAAGCCAGTAAAGCTAGCTGCGAAGCTGCAAGTAACTACGACCAAGGGTGCAAAGGGTCATGGGAAGCAAGATGACGGCCGAAAACAGACGACACCGATAAAGTACACACCCAAGAGAGGCACGCCAAAAGTGAAGATTCCAACAAAGATCGGAACCGCTGGACGCACAAAATACGTTGCTGACAACGTGCGCGAGTTAGCAGAATGCAACGCGGACGACCTGAAGCGGCTTTGTAAGCAGGAGGAAGTCGAATACGGCAACAAAGTTATAGCGGCGATCAACATTGCGGAAAAGCGAGCAGTCGATGCTTATGGAGCACCGGAGGGATCCGAAGTTAAAAAAGAAACTGAAGTTACAATTGCATCTGTAGATGTACAGGAAACTGACGAGGAAGTGTCCAGCGAAGAGGAACCAACAGACTGACTACCTTCGGAAGGCCCAGTGCTATGGGCGTTGTGCAGTTGGATCATACACCAACGGAAACAGCAGAAGAGATCTGACAGCGATTTGGAGACTTTGTATCGCGCTACGGTCATTCTACTTAGCTTAGAAGGACGGATCAATTAGTTAAGGAAGTATACCACGGCTTGGGGAAACTTGTTCAAGAGACACGCCATCGACTTCATCAAGAAGCACACAGGTGTATATGTCTTAGCTTCTCTGAGATGTAAAGCCCAGTATATAGGGCAAACGAGAAGAGATGCTAACACCAGATGGAGGGAGCATCTCTCAGCATGCGAAGGGAAGGCGAAGAATACTCACCTGTACAGGTGGTGGCGCATCTTTGGATTTGAATCCTATGTGTTGTTGCCCGTCGACGAAGGCGAGAAGCAGGAGCTGGTCCACTTGGAACAAGTGTACATTAAGAAGTGGTCGCTCATTCTGAACACCAGTGGGAGGTTGAGGAAGTCGGGAAAAAAGAATAACGTACGGAAAGGGAAGAACGAAAGAGCAAACGGAAGTACGCAAGTCGAGTGCTATGATGGGGCATCGGTCCAGATCGTACGCATTCGGACTAAGCAGTCAGACAGTTGGCATGCGGGCATCCTTAGTGAATTGAACAATCAGGAAAGGAAGGGTACTCAAAGCTTTTCGTTACAATCGACAGGAGGGAACTGCAGGGCTGACAGCTGGAAGAAGGTGAAGAGCGCTTTCGACAGATCGGCAATTGTGGTCGATGGAGTATCTACAACGCTCGCAAAATGCAAAAGCGCAATCGAGAAAGGTGAAGAATTAGAAGTCAAATATCTACGTAAATGGGGCCCAAGGATTGGACCGGACAAGATACTGCTCACGAAGCTGTTGCGCAACCCGAGGAGGATGGAAGCGATTAGAGATCTGGAGGAAGAAGAAAGGTTCAGACTGTACAAGTCGGCTAAAGACTTTCAGAGGAAGTCAACAAGATCTTACCTGAGGAGGATCATATCACGCGTGATCAAGGAGAAGTGTGGTTGGGAGATGGGAGCAGATTTAATCGTTCGCGTCAAGTTCGACGACCGAGTGAGCCTAGCGGAGGTAAGGAAGGTTGTTAACGACAAGATCGAGAGTCTCGACTTTTTGACGTGTATGGCTCAACGTGCGAGAAGTAAGATCAGGACAGTCTGGGTCAAGAACCCAACTGTCGCTGATCTCATACACAACCAACGCAACTATGTGCGGGCGGTTGTGTCAACCTGCACATGTGCAGGTCTCCCTTATCCGAGGACTAGGGAGCACGTACGATTTCGCCTGCACGAGTTGGATGGCGTGCATCCTATGTTGTTGAACGCAGGGAACATTCCTAGAGCACAGCATCCGGACCGCCTAAAGCTACTATGTAGGGAGATTGAAGACTCTTTCAACACATCGAAGAAGCGTAACACGGACGAAGTGGTGGTATCACAGAAGGAAGTCAGGAGATGTATAGTGGGCAACAACGAGATCGTGAACAGCAAGTGTCTGGACATCGCGGACGTGAAGGAGTTACGGGGCAGGTTAGAAGTCTTGGTTCAAACGTCGATGGACAAAAATCCCGGAGAGACACTGGTGATGTGTCCGTATCTGTACTACGAAGCCATGATGGAGGCATTTGTCACCAACCCTGGTTACGAAGTTACCACAAGCAAGGAGGTGAATGTGAGGTAGGACGTTCAGACAACATTCAAGGACAAAGGTATTACGAAGTTTGCCAAGGTCGATAATCAGGGATCATTCGGAGCAGTCTACGTGCAACCGAAACACAAGGACATGGATCAGTACAGACCAATCTGCCCATCTTACTCGGATCCGACTACGAAGACTGGAAAAAGTGTCGTGAAAGCATTGAACCACATGCTTTTCGGTCTACCGAGGAAGTGACACTTTGACACCCGGACGGTTAGCGAAGTCGCAACCACGATCGAGAAGATCAATCGAGGGATCGATCGGAGGACAAGTAGGGAGGTACAACTTGCAGTCATGTCCTACGATATTAAGGGAATGTTCAGCAAGTTGCCGCACAACGACATCATGGCGTCTGTTGATTGGATTATCGACTACTATGTGGGGAAAGGGAGACATTCGATACGAGTGAACACAAGAGGAAGGGGATGCTCATTTGGCAAGACTACGGGAATGGACCACTGGCGGGAGTTGAGGTTGGAGGATGTTCGGAGTTTCGTGGAGGTGGATCTGAAACACACATATGTCAGTGTTACGGGGGTACTGCTGAGACAAACCATCGGTATTCCGATGGGAAAAAGCACTAGCCCACCGTTAGCCTGTATCATGTGCGCATATTCAGAATAAAAGTTTTTGAACTCTTTGGGTAGGAGGAGGAACCAAGTGCGCGGATTAAGGTTGATGGACGACGTCAGCATCATCATTGAAAGGAGGAAGAAGGGTGCGGGTGTGGACGATCTCATTCACGCTTTTGAGAGTTGCTACCCCGCAAACCTGAAGATGAAGCGTACCGACGACAGACCAGGCAAGTGGGAGTTCCTCGGTTTGGAAATGAAGTCGCAGAACAGCTACCCGTACTTGGGCTGCATCCAAATGTCCAAGAACGAAAAAGCTGTATGGGAGCAGAGGGATCTCGAGTTCAATAACGGACAAAGTTATCTGTCCTGGGGGGGGGAACAACAAAAGAGTGCGGTGATTGCGAGTCACCTACACAGGATCGATGCGAACACTTCGATCCGAACTTAGATCCCATGGAGAGTGTTCACTCTCAGCCAAGAACTGAAGATGAAGGATTTCCCAGACAAATTTGTGAACAGGACTTTGAAAAGATTCAGCAGAGGGAGAGGGAAGATTTGGAAAGTTACGCCACAGTGGATTTGTGGCGAGGAATGAGAAGTGTGGTCAGTTAGTTAACTCGTATAATTAGTTGTATATCAAGGTTGTTTGGTGTGGTTTGGTGTGGTGTGGTTTGTCATCCTTGATTGCAACAATGCTAGCCTAATGGAGTTACGCAACAGTGGATTTGCGGCGAGGAATGAGAAGTGTGGTCAGTTAGTTAACTTGTATAATTAGTTGTATATCAAGGTCGTTTTGTGTGGTTTGGTCTGGTGTGGTTTGTCATCCTTGATTACAGCAATGCTAGCCTGATGGAGTGGTGACGCTTTCACTGGCGTGTAGGACATGCAATCAGGGATAGGGAATATTTGTGGGGCACTCCATACTGAACCTGAGAGAGCTATGGGATGTATGTAGGGACAGGGATGTCTCGGAGAGTTTTGTCGGTAAGAATTTCGGTATCAGGGATCGAACTGACGACCTGAACCAGTAGTGTTTTTAGCAGAGGCTAAGGTATGGTTTCGAACAGTCGACCCAAACCGGTAGTTCGATTTCGGGAGGCGACTCAGTATCAAGTTTCGAACAGGCGACCTGAACAGGCAGTTTGGCTTTCGGAGTAGGACCAGTAAGTGTGATTGGGTACCACAGGCTTCGAACAGGTGACCTGATTGAGTTTTTTCGTTTTTTGAGTTTTTTTATGTCTTTCGGGTACCGGGGTAACGCTACAGCATACGACACTAGGCTACGACGGGACGAGGATAAGTACAGCAACAGCGTAGTCAATGTTTTTTTTTTGGTCTGACGTTGACGAACTCCACCATCTCCGGAGATGATCAGAGTAGACATGACGGAAGCGGGACTGTGGCAGGCAGGATATGCATACGGGTGAAGTTGGGTGGATTCCCCCTGAGGAGACCTCGTGGCGGCGGTCGAAACCGGTCGGGGTGCCTTACCCACCGGAGACGAACGTGATTTTGTACTTGTGCACTACTCTATGTGTACCGTGTGATTTCATTGAAAGTTACAATTTGTTCGCATTTTGTTCTTTTCATTCTGGAGTCCATGCAATCTCTATCTGTACCTGAACAGTGAATACAGATATACCCTAAAGCACATACATATCACACAGCTCCGAAAGCTACTCCGAATAGGGTTTTATAGTGCTTTTTTTTCATTTTTTTGTCTGTTTGTTTTTTTTATGTTTGTATTACGAGCCTGCATTATTTGTTCGCAAAATTTTTGACGACATTGCTTGTGGTGGTGCGCCGAAAAACACTGAATTTTGGTCTTCCATTAACCATCTCTCGTAGTTAAGGAACGATGGACCCGGTTCCCAGCAGGTGTCGCTCCCCACCAATAGATGGAGCAGCCCGTCGACCAAGCCTTCAATTTTTGTGGTTTTCTCACCACCGGGGGGATAGTGGGCTTGCAAAAGGGCTTCTTTAAAAGAACAAAGCAAACAAAAAGAGTGGACAGAATGCGGCCCCGCTGATGGACTTCCCGAACAGCCATCTCATAGCAACTACAGTAGGGGAGGATCCCCCTGTGCTGCGGGTGATTGACCTGATGTTAGAGTCTGAGACTGAAGATGAGAATGAGAGGCCAAATCCTTAAGGGCCTCGTTAGACCCCCCTTGTGAAGAGTAAAAGTCAAAATCCTTAAGGGCCTCGTTAGACCCTCCTTGGAAATCCGATTTTTAAGAAATCGGCGTGGTTACTCCACATCCTAATTCACCAAATTCCTTGAATGAATGTGAAAACACTTCCGAGACATTTCCTTGGGTTCCTCGGAATCCCCAGCCAAAATGTCCTTGGATATAAGAATTCCTCGGGAGGTCCCTTGGGTTAAAGGAGGCGTGATTGACAGAGTGTTCTGGAGCGAGTGCGAACAGGAGAATTTGGAGTCGATGTGCGCAGGTCCTTCGTGGTCCATTGGGTGGACATCGTCGGCCTTCAGTACCCAACGGGGCCCCAATGGCCTTCCACCGTTACCGTTGGCACGAAAATGAGTGGGGGTGGTTCTTCAACTACAAGGTGCTTCACGAAGCGTTTCCGTGCGCGCATCGTCAGCCGTGGTGTCCAACGGTCAAATTTTTCAATTTTTCTATAGGTGATGTCCAAGCACTGCAGACCTATTGCAGTCATCCGCCTAGCGTGTTTTGTCGTGTCCTCCGACGGTTCCCGCTCCTGCTTCTGGCCACTCTTCTCCTGCTCCTTGTCGTGTTATTCCATGTGTGTGTCGTTGTGCGGGGTCCTGGCATCAGACGGAAGCGATGAACTGTAAGGAAGACGACAATGGACAGGCGGGAAACCTCCAGTCCGCAACTTCTGCTTGTAGTAGCCCTCCACCGCGTCGTCAACTTGCCGGAGATCCTCCTATGTCCCTCCCGTCCTTCTCCTCATCCACCATCCAGGTGTCGCCTTCGGGATCACACCTGATGCCATGGCGCAACAGAATTGCACAATTGATTCCGATAACGACACACAATCGTGTGCATCCATCACTTGTTGCATCAGCTTCCTCTGCCTGCGAACAGGCAATCTTATCCTCATGCGAGCTCTCGTTCTCTCAATACAATAACGCATGGCGACAACTGACACAACTATGACCACCGTGTTTCTCTCCAATGCTGTTAATGCCTTTGCACGACCCAGAAGCTTTCCCTCCACCATCAGGACTTGCAATGCGCAGGCGCCCACCACTCGTTCGCCCCCTGGCGCCCTCGTTGCACCTTCTCCACGTCGATGGGGATCACACTCGCACTGTCCATGTTTCACGAAAGTGTTACGTTCGCACTCAACTGTGACGACCCGAAGAGCATGCGGAACACGAAGGTGACGTCACAATAAAGAACCGTTATGCATACACGCTATGCTGCCCAACGTTTCAATGCCCGCCTTTTAAGCCATGGCCGCCATCACTCCTCCGCACGTTTCGGCCCAGTCTCCAGTCCAGCCGCCACGACGCCTCAGACGCGGATGCGTCACAACGGAGGGTTCAAAATTCGAAAATCGAACCGGGATGTTGGCGCCCTTTTTTTTTTCTTCAGCCCGATAGACCTCCTCGCCGCCGCCACTGGATCACGCCCGAGGACGCACAGACAGCCCAACACGATGACGGACATCCACCCCCGCGGCCGTGTATATATGCTTGAAATTGGTTGTCGGAGACCTCCAAGGGTTTTCCGTGGGACTCATCGAATTAGGACGCGGTGTAACGACGACACAGGAACCGAAAACTTTTCCAAGGACTTCATCCTAATGTCTAAGGATTTGTCAAGGAGGGTCTAACGAGGCCCTAATTCCTATGGCGCCCACTAGAACTTGGACAGCAGTGGGCATGCATAACACCTCCCTTCTCCCAACAGTTGCGGAGTCTCTTTTCAGCGACACACGGTCTCCCGACCGGTCTCGGCATTGGGAGGCCATCATGGTCCATTACCTCTTCTCCTACAGGCAGCTCACCCCTCCTTCCTGTATCCTGGAGGTCAGGGTATTCGTTGGTTCCGTGACAGGCAGGGGTGGCGAGCTAGAGTTCAATCGCACCTTTTGCTTTCCTGGTCTTTGTTCAAATGATCCGGTCTGATTCCTCATAGACTCACTGGCTTCGGCTGAGGAAGGGGTATTATTCATTCTAATCACCCCCAATTGCGAAAGTGCTACGAAAGACTGGGATAGGAACTAAGTATTAAGGGGTCACAAAGGACAAACGTTTTTTTTTTAGGACTCTCAGAGTTCCCCCGAAATCACGAAAGTGCTACCTGGATAGAATCGGGAAAGGGCAATACTGGACTCCAAAAGAATGGGGTCACAAGGTGTTACGAGCACTGCTGAAGCTAAGGCAAACAGACTGAACAAAAGTCTCGACTACAAGACAAACGGATGACACGAAGGTCAACAACCAAAGGAAGGCGGGAACGCTA